CAGAAAAAAGGGTTTAGGGTTTGGGAGTTTAGGGTTTAGGGTCTGTGGGGTAGAGGGTTCCGAGTTGAGGGACGCGAGATAATTAGGGCTTATAGGGACTTAGCATTGGGGTTTAGGGCTTCGTTCTGAGGGTATAGGGATGGAGGATAACAATCTTTTGGGGGTATGTTTGGGGTACCCCTATTCTGGGAAGGACTTGAAAAGTATGAAGGGTGTAGGGATCAAGGGTTTCAGGGTTCAGTGTTTGAGGGCCTAAGTCCTGACTCCTCCTGTCTCCTGTCGACTCAGGCAGTCTCAATGAGTTGAGGGCTCAGGGCTCTAGGGCAACGGGTTTTAGTAACCCTAAACCCTAAACCCTAAACCCTAAACCCTAAACCCTAAACCCTAAACCCTAAACCCTAAACCCTAAACCCTCCGAGGGTTAGGAGTCGGAGTCACCACATCCTGAACGCCCTCAAAGGGGTGGTTGAGGCTTTCGATTTTCCCCTTACTAGGTTTCAGGATTTACACCAACTGTAGTTGAAGGACGTGTTTCTCCCTTAGGTATCATGCTTTCTCACCTAGGTATGATGCTTAGAAGCCCAATCTAGTAACTCTAATTACTTATGACTAGGGGGGTACCCTCCTGACACGACCCCGGATCCACGCCCCCAGCTGACTTTGGGTGGAACTTCCGGAAGTCAGGAACCAAAGAAGCCAGGAAGCACTTGGGAATCCACTTCTCAGCCAGGGCCGACACGTCCGCCTGAGGGTTAGGGTTGTTTGCGGTCTGCATGTGGGGCTCGAACCCTCATTCACAGCCCGTAAACCCTTAACCCTAAACCCTCAAGATACTCTCGAACCCTCAAGACACCTAAACCCTACACCCTAAACCCTCATAGACTCTCTCGACCCCTCAAGACAGATGGCCTGGCGGTTCGCCGGGATAAACTTCTGCACCCACGAGGTGAAGTAAGGCTCCCAACCCAGGTCGGGAGGGTCGAAATACACCTGGGCTGCTGTTCAGGGTTTAGGGTTTAGGGTTTGGGATTTAGGGTTCGGGGTTTAGGGTTTGGGGTTTAGGGTTTGGGGTTTAGGGATTGGGGTTTAGGGTCTGGGGCTTAGAGTTTCGGGTTCAGGGGGCTTCGAATGGACGCTGCAAGCCTTATGTATTGTGGTTTGGGAGCCCCAGAAGACCCGCAAAAAATGGCAGTTCTTGAAGCCTTGAGCCTTAGCGCTACGTAGGACAAACTTGGGCCGATGATTTACTAGGTTGGCCTTAAAACCCACCCCTCTGAAAAATATTCCTGTAAATGTGATCCTCTCAAACTCAAGATGGCCAACTGTTAAAATATCCCCAGGGCCCACCCTAAACCCCAAACCCTAAGTAGAACCCTTACAAACCCCAAAACCGAAACCTTAAACCCTCTGGCTGCTGCAACTGGATACTATTGTTTAGACATGTCTAAAACAATAGCATCTATTCAGAACCCGTATAAACCCAAAACCTTAAACCACTTGATGGAACCCAGGGGCTGCCACATGCGCACGTTCATCCTTTGGGGATTTCTTGACGTTTTAAGAAGGCACCCCACCCTCCCTCAAACCAGCCCGTTTCAGGGTTGAATTAGGCCCTTTAGGGCCGAGATGAACCCTAAACCCTAAACCTCCCTAAGCCCTGAACCCTAAACCCTAAACCCTAGGAACTTTAGAGCCGAAGACACCATGCCCGCTCGAGAGACTGTTGCCGGCGAAGCCTGCGCAGCTGACACCGAGCGCTTTTGGGAGGTTTAGGTTTTAGGGTTTAGGGTTTAGAGTTTAGGGTTTAGGGCTTAAAGTTCTAACTGGCTGGTTCTTAGTAGGGAATGAAAGAATTCTACACCCGTTAAGGGACTATATAGGGTACCTCATTCCCCCATTCCCTACTAAGAACCAGGAGCTTTTGAGGGTTTAAAGTCTAAGGGCACTTCAGGTTTAGGGTTGAAACCCTGACAAGGGTTTAGGGTGCTAGGGCTTTGGGGATAAACCCTCATCAGTGAATTCGGTTTTGGGCCGTTTTGCGTGTCTGAGTTTCAACCCCGCCGGGTTTGGGGGTGTGGGCCTTTGCGGCTTGAACCCCAAAATGAAAGCCAAGGGCCTGGGGCTTCTGAGGCAAGTGCCCAGAAAGTAAGGCTTATGGGCTCTACACCCCAAAATCCCATCGCTAGAGCATGAAGCACCTTGAGACCTAGCACTGCTTCCAGAGGCCCTGAAAGGCTTTTAGGGTTCAGGGAGTTTAGGGTTTAGGGTTTAAGGAGCTTAGGGCTTCGGGAGCTTAGGGGTTCGGGAGATTAGGGCTTAGGGAGTTTAGGGAAAAGGGAGTTCAGGGTTTAGCGTTTAGGGCTTGTTGGCGTTGTCCCAGGCATGGAGGATGATGCTCAGGGGCCGTGTTTGGAACGCGAACGTGGGTTTGGGAGGAATTCTACCCTAAACCCTAAACCATAAACCCTAAACCCTATACCCTAAACCCCTTAGTAAAGGGAATTAGGCTGTCTGGGCTGTTTTTGTTACGGTTCAGGGGTTTAGGAAGTCTCTGTGCAAGAGGGAGATCGCCTTTACTATGCGCATTGGCAACGTTGCCTCCTTCTTTCAGAGTACCAATTCGAAAGGGGGTACTCTAGGTAGGGCTGAAGGCTGTAAACCCTAAACCCTAAACCCGAAACCCTAAACCCTAAACCCTAAACCCTAAACCCTGAACCCTAAACCCTAAACCCTAGCGCCTGGGAAAGGTCGGCGACTTCGAAGAGTAGCCGCACCATTGGGGGCATCGAGATTCGGTCTCCGTTGATCAAGGTCAGGACCTGTCAGAGTTTGGGGTTTAGGGTTTAGGGTTTAGGGTTTAGGGTTTAGGGCTTTAGGGTCGAGCTTTCGGGTTCGAGCGGGGTTGAGGTTTAGGGTTCTAGGTTTGGAGGGCTTCAAAACTCCCCCAACCATCAACCCTCAACCCTCAGCTCTTCTTCAGGCCTTGTTGTCGTCCAGCACGGTGTTCCTTAGGGCTGGGGCTTCAACTGAGGGCTCAAGTTTAGCCCGGCAAGCAGGAGAATCCTTCTTGTTGAACGGGGGTCTGGCAAGGGAACGCAAGCCTGAGCAAAGGAAAACAAATAGTGTGAAGGCGTTTTGAGCGCCCAACCCATGCTAGAATGGCATCCCTAAACCCTAACTCTAAGGGTCCATGTACCTTATTGTTACATGCTTGGGCCCAAACCCTAAACCGTAAACCCTAAACACTGAACCCTACATCCGAATTCAATCCTAAAGTAGGTTTCTGGTTGTGGGTCTTCGGGGCGTTGTCGGGCGAAGCGTCATGGACTCGATCCACAGCGTGTCTACGGGACCGTCCAGCAGCAGCCACTTCTCATCTGGCTTCTCGTCCTCCCAAGCACAGCTTGGGTTTAGGGTATAGGGTCTAGGGTTTCGGGTTTTCGGGTTTAGGCTTACATGCCGGAGGAACTACTTAATGGTTGAACCCTACACTGCAAAACTTACACCCTAGACCCTGAAGCCTAAATCCTGAATCTGAATCACAACCAAAGTGGAACGAAAATCCATGTAAACTTCAATCATACACCCAGAGCAACCTTAAAAAGCCATAGAATCAGACAACCTACACTTAGGATTCTTTGAGGGTTTGCAACCTAATTACCCCCCCTATGCTATGACTCCTGACACATCCGGCGCATGATGGAGGACAGCACGCCGTCCGTCCATTCCATCATCGTCGCCTGCAAGGTGCGTTGCGGGTAAGTCAACAGCCCTATAAACAAGAAACCCTAAACCCTAAACCCTAAACCCGGAACCCTAAACCCTAAACTAGTCTGACACGGTGAGTATGCGAGATTTAAGCCCGCGTTTATCCGTAGATCGAGACACAACAGGATTCCTTCAACTGTCCCCCAAAAGGGAGCCTTCTGTTGAACAGCCCGCACATGAGTGATCTGCGAGCAGTTGAGGTAGAGTTAAAAGTGCGCTACAAAAGGACCCTAACTCGGGTTCTCCTGCTTCATACCCCACTCCGACCCTCCAAGCGCTAGGACCCCCACAGGGCACAATTACTCCGAGAGTATCGGGGGTAGGCAAGTCATAGTTAGACTGCAGTATGCTAAATGGGGGTGGGGGTGTTCGACTCACCCGTAAATCTACTGACAGATGATCCTAAATTTGAGCCTCCTAACCAGGTGCTACTCAAACTCAAAAGGGGTTGGTTTAGGACTAGCTAGTCGAAAATAGAGGCACGGCAACAGGAACACATCCCGACCCCCTGTAGCCGTGCGCCAGACATCTCCCCAGTCAGGAACCGTGCAGCCCAGTAGAACATGGGCATCGTCACGAGTTGGACCGTGATGGTCTTAACCACCAAAACCCCAAAACCAGGGCGGGGGAAGCCATGACAGCTGCAGTTCAAGCGCTTCGTTGCAGCTGCTGTGTAGAGATTGGGGCTTAGGGCTGACTGACCGTCAACCCTAACCGAAAAAACCTACACCCTAAATCGAAAACCCTAAACACGGAAACCCAACAAGCCCAAACCGTAAGACCCTGAAACCCTAAAACCCTCAGACCCTAAAACCCTAAAAAAGCAAACCCTCCAAACTAAGAAAACAAAACCCTCAAACCCCAAAACCCTAAGACCCTAAAACCCCAAAGCCATACAAACCCCAAAACCCTAAAGCCCTAAAACCCCAAAGCCTTAAACCCCTATAAATCCTAAGACCCTCAAACCCAAAAGCCTCATATAAACCCCAAAGCCCTAAAGCCCCAAAACCCTAACACCCCTATCTTGGCTGCACTCAGAAGGGTAGCCATAAACTAAATGTTTAGCTGTCATATTAAGAGAACCAGTAAACCCAAAAAGGCTAAAGATCTAAAGTTAAGTAAAGCACCACGAAGCTACAAGCCCTCCACCCGTGTGCCTCGTCATAGGCGCCATAGAGCTCGCCCATAGTAATCGACTTGGGGTTGATGATCTCGTAGATCACCTTCTCCATACCTGGGGAAGGGTGGGTTCAGGGTTTAGGGTTTAGGGTTCCGGGGTTTAGGGTTTAGGGTTTAGGGTTTGAGGTATTCAGGTTTGAGGGCTTAGGGTTGATAATCTCGTTCTCGTAGATCACCTTCTCCATACCCGGGGATGAGAGGGGCGGGGGGGTCTGTTTTAGGGTGGCCTTTGTAAGATTAGGGGTTCGGGTTGGTTTGGGGCCAGAGGTTCACGGGGTTAAGTTCTAAGGTGTTAGGGACTTAGGGGCTTAGGGGTTTAAGTGGTTTGGGGGATGTAGGTTTTGCGGGCGGGGGAGAGAGAGAGCAACCAACAACGCACAAACCTAAACACCCAGCCAGCTCGCAACCCCAAACTCGGCACCCAAACCCACGCGACGCTAACCCGAATTTTTAGACCCTAACCCTAAACCCCAAACCCCAAACCCTATACCCTAAACCCTAGTCTCTAAACCCCAAACCCGAAACCCTAAACCCCAAGTCCGAACACCCTAAACCCTAAACCCTAAACCCTAAACCCTCAACCCTAAACCCTAAACCCTAAACCCTAAACCCTAAACCGCAATGATGGGGATCCACTCTGGGCCCCTGATGTCCCTGAAAACCCCAACATGTTGGGCAGAGGGTGCAGGGTTTTGGGCCTGTAGGGCGTAAAAGGACTTTTAGGAGACTAAACCCTAAACCCTAAACCCTAAACCCCAAACCCTAAACCCCAAACCCTAAACCCTAAACCCTAAACCCTAAACCCTAAACCCTAAACCCTAAACCCCCGAACCTGTCAGACCATCCCCGCCTTCCTGGCCCATCGACTTGAGGATGCACTTCGCCTGGCAGACCAGAAAGGGACGCGGCGTTTGGGGTTTAGGGTTTAGGGTTTAGGGTTTAGGGTTTAGGGTTTAGGGTTTAGGGTTTAGGGTTTAGGGTTTGGGGTTTGGCTGTTAGGGTTTGGGGGTTAGGGTTTGGGGTTATAAGGGTTTAGGGTTGGGGTTTGGGGTTTCGGGTTTAGGGGTTGTAGGGTTTGAGGGGTCTAGGGCTATTGGGCTTTGAGTCATGGAGTATTGGGGTCAGGCGCTGTTAGGGTTCAACCCTACACCCTTAATCCCAGAGTGTATCTTTGCTTCGCTTCGGGAGCAGAAAAAGGAGGCACGCAACCCCTCCGCAACCGCTAACCCATTCAAAACTCTGCATTCCTACCCCCTGCCCCCCCCTCCCTCCCCCCCAACTCCTCTACTAAACCTAAGGGCCAGAAACCCCATTGTTCAAGGCTTTGAGACTTGTGTTTTTTCGGGGCCCAAAGACCTTCTTATTTGGGGTCTGGGGTTTCTAGGTGTACACCCCAGCCTTAATCCCTAAAGCCCTCCCTAAACCTTGAAGCCCTCAAACCAAAAACTCAAAAAGCTAAACCGTCAAACCCTAAACCCTAAACTCTAAACCCTAAACCCTAAACCCTAAACCCTAAACCCTAAACCCTAAACCCTAGCCCACGCTCCCCCATGTCGGCCTTTGCCAAGGCCTTCCAGCACACGCTTTTGCCTCCGAGGGTTCCGCCAACCAACCTTCGGGTCGTTTTTTCGGGTTTAAGGTTTAGGGTTTTGGGGTTTTAGGGTTTTAGGGTTTCAGGGTTTTAGGGTTTTAGGGTTTTGGGGTTTTGGGGTTTTAGGGTTTTAGGGTTTTAGGGTTTTAGGTTTTTAGGGTTTTAGGGTTTTAGGGTTTTAGGGTTTTAGGGTTTTAGGGCTTTAGGGTTTTGAGTTTTGGGTTTAGGCTTGTGGAGTTCAGGGTTTAGGGTTTAGGGTTGTGGAGTTTCGGGTTGAGGGTTTTAGATGGTTTTAGGGTTTTTAGGGTCTAGGACTTTGGTGCGTTCGGAGGAGAATTCTTGATCAACAACATTTTAGGGAAGCATCGTGCTCGGGTTTCAGAGATGCGGGTTGTAGAGCAGAAGTCAGGCCTTTGGAGGTTTTCAGGCTTTGGGGTGGGAAGGGGGGGGGGGGTGTGGGTTCAGAGCTCGAAACCCTGGGGTTTACCCTAAACCCTACGCCGTTTAGTAGACGTATAATACACATTAAATGTCATATTGAGAGTCGTGCCCTATTCTTGCATTGGAGCAGCTATATCCTCTCTCTCTATTTACAGGCAAAAAAGTCAAAAGCTTGTATTCCTAGCCTTATTTGTGTTAGTGGTTTTCCATACAGAAACAGCATGCTACACATGTACAAGGCAGGCTATTGGTGATGCACAAAGGGAACGGGGGGACGTTTAGGATCTGGGCTTGAAATGGTTGAGGGCTAAGGGCTTAGGGCTTAGGGGCCCGTAGGCCTAGAGATTACCTAAAACCTGTAAGCAATAAACCTTACATCCTGAACCCTGAAGCCCTGAATCCTAAACCCTAAGCCCTACGCCCTAAACCCTAAACCCTAAGCCCTAAACCCTAAGCCCTAAGCCCTAGGCCCTAAACCCTCAGCCCGGGGAATATTACCGGCGAACAACGAAAGAGTCATCATGACAACGAAAGACAAGATGTGACCTATGGATGTTCGCCGGTTCCCGTTCGATGTCCGCCAGTCGGTTTTCGATGTCCACCGACGGGACGGGACGGGACGGGACGGGGCGGGACGGGGCGGGACGGGACGGGGGCGGGACGGGCGGGACGGGCGGGACGGGGCGGGACGGGCCGGACGGGGCGGGGGAACGGGGCGGGACGGGGCGGGCGGGGCGGACGGGGCGGGGGGCGGCGACGGCGGGATTGGGCTGGATGGGGCGGGACGGGGCGGGATGGGGCGGGGACGGGGCGGGACGGGGCGGGACGGGGCGTACGGGGCGGGGGTGGGGGGGGCCGGGGCGGGACGGGACGGGATGGACGGGCGGGACGGGACGGGACGCGGGACGGGACGGGACGGGACGGGACGGCGACGGGACGGGACGGGGACGGGCAGGGACGGGACGGGACGGGCGGGACGGGACGGGGCGGTGACGGGACGGGACCCCCAGGACGTCCGGGGACGGGACGGGACGGGACGGGACGAGGCGAGGGAGGGGGGAGGGGAGGGGAGGGGAGGGGAGGGACGGGACGGGACGGGATGCGGACGGCGTGGGACGCGGACGGGACGGGACGGTGGGGGACGGGACGGTGCGGGACGGGACCGGCGGGGGACGGGACGGGATGGTGGGGGACGGGACGAGACGGCGAGAAACGGGACGGGACGGCGGGGGACTGGACGGGACGGCGGGGGACGGGACGGGACGGCGGGGGACGGGACGCGGGGGACGGGACGGGACGGCGGATAGGGTTTATATGGGGTGGAGTTTTTTTTGGTCTTTTTTTTTGGGGGGGGGCCCCTTTTTTTTCTTGGTCGATTTTCTTGGTTTTCTCTAGGAAAAACCCTACTTTTGGACGGATTTCCTGTCATTTCCCTTAGGTTTTCGTTGGTTTTTCATAGGGAGAAACATATTTTTTTTTACATTTTGGACGGATTTCCTGTAATTTCCCTTAGGTTTTTCTTGGTTTTTCCTAGGGGGAAAACCCTATTTTCCTTACGTTTTGGACAGATATCCTGTCATTTCCTTCGTTTCTTGGGCTTTGAAGCACGCTTGGTACGGCTTAAAAGAAGCGGGGGGGGTTGGGGGGGGGGGGCGCAGCCCCCCCACTTGCAAACACCTCTTGGGCTTTGAAGCACGCTCTGCGCGGCTTCCAAAAAAAAAGAGCGGGGGGGTTGGGGGGCGCAACCCCCCCCCCCCCCATTTGTGCTCACACGATGCTTTTCAACTAGTTTCTTGGGCTTTGAAGCAAGCTTGGTACGACTTAAAAAAAGCGGGGCCCCCCCCCCCCCCATTTGCAAACACCCTGCTCACATGACGGGCGTCACTCGACTCGATTCCGCAGCGGTCTGGTCTGACCTACTAGCTAGCTGTACCTCATGACATGTGTCACGGCCGCTCAGCGGCGGCGATTAACAGCTTCGGGTATGGACATGCAAGGCAACTGCACAGGAACCGAAGTTCAACAAACTGTGCAGTACAGGGTCTCCAGCGCTCACAGTCGCTCAACCTAGCGTTCTCGCGCTTACTAACTAGGGAGTAGACTGTGACAGCTCAGCTGAACAGTGAATGAATTGTCAAAACGAAGAAAGCAAAAACACATCACGCCACTCTGCCTTGGGCAGGGGGCCGGAAACGGCAACCCCGAGACAAGTGCTGCGCAAGCCCTGTACACTGTACAACTTCAGCACTGAGCTACAAATGGTCAGCTCAATGATGGATCTCACTCATGAAAAGCAGTCAGTTGAGGACCTCCATGGAGGGACGGACTCAGAGTCCACTAGAGCATCGAAATGCACTCCACAGGCCAATTTCAAGTGAAACGGAGTCCACAACAAGCCTCCATGCATACCGCCAACTATTCTGGAACCACTGCTTTTGGGAGCGTAGCCACCGCTGACAGACAAATTGGCACATCGTTCTGTCGTCCTGCCCAAAGGGCAAGCTTGGCCAAAGCGGCAGGCTCCACGAGAGAAAGCTAGCAGAAGCACCCCACGAGGAAAGAGAACCATCAGAGCAACCCCAAGAACACCTCAGCGGCAGGTACACAGCGTAGGGGACCATCACGTTGAGGAAGCCCAATGCACCCACCAGATAAGAAAATTAAAAAAATAGCAGCAGCATATTGAATAGAAGGGCCGATAATACGGCGCCCCCGCCCACAGGCCAGGTTGCCGTGAAGCCTGGCAATCGCAAGTGGCCAAGAAAAACCAAGCAAGTATGGGGTGAGTGTGTGGTACTGCTCCAGCACATGCATTGTACAAGCAAAGAACTGAGTCAAATATGGTCAGCTCAACGATGATCCAAACTCATAGGGCAGACAGTTGAGGACCTCCATGGAGAGTCTGGTACTACAGTGACTCGTCGCATCGCGCAAGTTGCCTCACTGCCCGAAAAACTCGCCATGGGCCGACCCACGAACTCCCAGAAGGGCTAGGTGGGAAACAGGAACGAACTGTCCACA